AATTATTAAATAAATATTTAATATTAATATTATTAACTATAATAGATAAAAGATCTCTAGTTATTTAATAAAAAATAAAAAGGTAATTATAATAGAATTTTTAATAGATAAAAATATTAATATATTTTATAATATTTAAAATAATATTAATTAAATTAAAAATAATTTAATATTTAAAATATTTTTAAATTTTTTAAATATTTTTACTACAGATAAAAATCTCTAATATTAAAAAATATTATAAAAAACTTTATCTAAATCTAAAAATAATCTAGAGATAATAAATAATATATTAATAATTAAATTTTAATTATAATAAAATAAAATATTTTTTTAAAAATAATCTAGTATTTATTATATTAATTAATATTATTATTAAATTATATATCTTTTTTAAATTTCTTAAACTTAAATATTAGGTTAAGAATTATTATAATTATATTAATATAATTTTTTATTTAATAAATATAATAATAATATTTTTATAATTTTTAATATATATTCTATAAATTCTTAAGAATATTTTTTTTAAAATATTTATTTTTTACTAATTAATTAATAAAATAATTTAAATAATTAAAAAAATTATTATAAATATTATAGATTTTATAAATAATAAGTTTATTATTTTTAAATAGATAAAATATAAAAAATTAAAAAAAAACTTTATTTACTTCTATTTAATTAAAATTAATTAAAGATAATTAATATTAGTATAATTATGATACTAAATAAAGTTTTTAATTATTTAATAAAGATTAAATATCTAATAAATTATAAAATAAATTAAATTTTAATAAATTTTATAATCTAGAAAAAAATAATAAATTAAACTAGATTTAAATTATTAAATAAACTAGAATTTTTTATAATATTAAAAATTTATAATTAAAAATTATATAATTTTCTAAATCTATAATTAAGAATTAATATAATATAATATTATAAAAAAATCTTTAAAAATTATTTATAAAAAACTTTTATAGATAATTCCTAGAATATATTTTTTTTAAAAATTTTTAAAATATTAAAAAACATTTTAAAATTTTTATTATTATTATTCTAAATATATTTAATAATATTATTTAAGATCTTAATCTAAAATTTTTATAAAAAAATATAAACTATAAATTAAATTATATAAATAAAATAAAAAATATAATATTAACTTTAAATAATTTTTATAAGATTAAAATTAATAAAAATATTATAAAACTAAATATTTTAATTAAGTTAAATCTAGAATTTGAATAAAATTAAATTAAATATTAAATTATTATTACTAATATTATTAATTATTATAGTTAATAATTAATAAAAGAAATATATTTATATAAAATTAATAAAATAATTATAATTAGATTTTTATTAATATAAAATCTAGTATTAATTAAAAATTTAATAAAATCTTATAATAATATATATTTTTTATTAAAAAATATCTAGTTAAAATAAAAAATATTTTTTAATTAAAATTAATCTAATAATTAATTATAATTAATATTTATTTAATATCTAGAAATTTTAATAATAATTCTATTTATACTTCCTAGATAATCTTAATAAATATTTTTTAATTTATATTTAATTAAAAGAACTTAGTCTTTAACAGAAAAATAAAATAATAAAATTAATTATTTATTTAAATTATATATATTTAATAATTCAGAATAGTAAATAATAAATAATTATAAAATTTAAAATTTAATTTTAAAAATCTTATTTATTATAAATAATAAAGATCTAAAGATAAAGAATAATTAATAAAAATTTATTTTAGAAGAATAAATAAATATTTATAATAATTCTTTATTTAATATTTAATTAATTAATTATTTAAATATAATTAAAGATATTTTCTTTTTATAATTTTTATAAAAATAATAATTTATAAAATTAATTCTTAAAGTTTTGATTTCTAGATATTATAAAATATAAAAATATATAAAATAATAAATAAAAAAAATTTTATTAAAAAATAATATATTTTTTTAAAGATTTTTTTATAATATTAATAATTTTTCTTAACTAAAGTAAAATAATAATTTTTAAATTTATAAATAAATTTTAAAAAAGAATATCTTCTATTATTAATTATAAAAAATAATTATTTTTTTATAAAATTAGATATAGAATAATTTTTTAATTTTTTATAATATATATAATCTTAAGATTTTGAAAAAAATAAAGATTTAATCTAAATAATTTATCTTAATTTAAAATTTATTATTATTTATAAAAATTTAAAAAATAGAAAAGAAAAGTTTAATAATATTTTTAAAAATAAATTAAATAATTATAACTAATTTATAATACTAGAAAAATTCTATAAATAATAAATTAATAAAAAAAATAGAAAAATTCTATAAAAATAATATTATTTAATTTAAAAATATATTTATATATAAATATAATTTATTATAATTTTCTCTAAATATAAATTTTTATTTATTGTATTTATTATTATTAATAAATATAATAAATAAAAAATTATATTTAGAGTTTAGAGTTATTAAATATTTTTTTTAAATAATTTAAATATCTAAATATTTAAAATTATATTTAAAATTAAGATTTAAATAATTTTTTTTATTATAAATCTAAAATCTAAATATATTATTTTATTAAGATATAATCTATATTTTAATAGATATTTTATTACTTATATTTTAATTTCTAAGAATTTTATAATTTTAATATATCTAGTTTTTTCTAGAGATTAAAATATAGATATTAAATAAAATTAAAAAAATAAATTTAAATAAAGAAAATATCTATATAAAAAAATTTAGAAAAAGTTTTTATAAAATCTATTATTAAAAATATAATATAATATCTAATATTTAGATTAAATAATTATAGATAATATAGTTATTAAAATAAACTAATTATATAATATAATATATATAATCTTTAATCTAATATATAAATAATTAAGACTTTTTTAAATAAAAAATAAAAAAATAATAGATCTATTAAATTTATTTAAAAAAATTTAATAATAGTTTAGAGATATTATACTAATTTTTAATTATTATTTTAATAATAAAAATATAGTATTTTTATTTAATTTATTAGATCTTTAGTATATAATCTAAATTAAATTATAATTATATATTTTTTTATATTTTTTACTATAAAGATAATAATATTATAAAAAATAATATTATATTAATATTATTAGAATTTCTTTATTATTTTTATAAATAAAAAAATACTATTATATTTTTTAATTAATTTTTTTATTTTAAAAAGCTTATCTTTATATATTTTTAAATAATAATTAAAATAGTTAGATTAATTCTTATTTAATCTAGATATATCTTAATTATATTAAAGTTAAAAAGAATATAATAAATAAATCTTAGTATTAAAAATAATTAAAATAATTAACTATTTTATTTTTAGTTATACTACAGTTAGATATAAAAATTTCTTTAATTTAATTATTAATCTATGGTCAGGTATAAAAGTTCCTATTAATCTGACCTAATCTGGCTGTTAGCTACTCTAGTTAAGAATAAGAAATAGATTAAAATTAAGACTTTTATTGGCAATAATTGAATTTATAAATTTAAAGATCTATTAGCTATTTTGAAATTGTTTAATTATATAATATTACTCTAATTACCTAGAAAATATCTAAGATAATCAGAGATAGTTATATGATTTCTGAATTAGTTGCACTAAATCCTGACCCAGTGTGAACTAGGAACCCCTTGGTTATTGAGTGGAGGCTTACGCTAACGGATTCGTCAGCCAACGAGTTGCCAACTAGACTACCACATAGTTTAAGCCGTGTACCGAGCACCGAAGTCGAACAAGCTTCGTCGCTGCTCAATTCCTCAGGAAGTCCCTTCTCGATCCAAGGACAATCCCTACCACCGGCCATGTTCACTCACGCCTATGGTACAAGTCTCCGGACGCGATCCCTTGGTCTAGATCCGATTTCCACAATATAATGTTGATAGTATTCGAGTCGCGCTTGAGGATATACCTAAATGGCGAGGCCCGGAATTCACGATAGCCTACCTTAGATTCTAAAGAGGTTAATTAGACCAACAAAGTATATATTCGATTTATGCTTTGAATTAGACCTTGATCATGTTTGCCTCGCGATGGGTCCTGGCGTTTTTGCCAAAGGAAGAACCCTATCGAGCATTTATTTTTATCTAGTTCTCTGCGAGACTCTGATATGTTCCGCATACCAGTTAGGCCCATTGTTGCGAAAATACCACTTCGGACTCCAGATTATATTCCGCTAGCTTATCCAACCTTGGCACCTTTAGTCAACACTAACGCACGAAGCTGGCTCAGCTGTCCTAAATATCGCCGCCCAGAAATTCTGGAAATCAAGACTGCGTTGGTCGACTCTACTCGATGTTAACGTCGTACACGATATGCAACGCAGCGTACGGAAGGCTGGCAAATATTACAGCAAGTGCCGATGCGGATGAGCAAAGAATGCTCGAATTATGAGAAAGGAGCGATGAAGCTAATGATCAAGGGCCATCGAAAACGCAACGTTACTGAAAATACCAAGTTGATGGTGAAGGCTCGTATTCCGATAGATTACTATTTCAACTCAACCCCACAAATTGACCCGAGGTGTACTTCGACCGGGTTATTGGGGTTCATGTCACCCCAACCGTTCATTTCAATGTGAGCAGTCCACATAGCGTGTAGCCCAAAAGGCGCATCGGTCTCAATACTGACTTTGTTGGCCAGGGAATTGAAGAACGAGATATCAGCACCAGCTTCTCGGCCACTCATTGGGAGCAATGGCTTGCCAAGAATGTGACATCGGGTGACTTCTCAAAAAGAACTGAAATCACACATAAACAATGAACTTGAGGCATCGGTTTGTGCGAAGTAACCGTCTCGTTATGTCTAGTGTGCGGTGTTTTGGTTGCGCGAAAAGCTCACTTTTGAACCCTCGGTGTTTCGCGGTTTGCACTGGCAATCCCGATGCAGTCCTTAATCATAACCCTCTTACCTGCTCACTGTGACAATGGCGGCTGATAGTTGAGAGGGCGTCTAATAAATATGGTTAGAGTCAGCAGAACCCACCTAAGGCTCGAAACTTACTTGAACAAAAGAATATGTGGTTCCGGTTCATGTACTTCATAATGCTCCCAGCCCAAACTCTGTACAAGGGATTAGAGTCGTCTTGACCTATTTGAGTTGTCATAGACCTGGAGGTCAACTGTACCTGAGTTATGCCGAGAGCTCGCCATTCGTCTTCCCAGAGCAATTTGAGTGTTCCTTTGGAGTTATCGAAATAGTCGGCCGGTATCTTTTTCAGCATATTCTTAGGGAGTTGGACATGTCGATATTCAAATTGATCGTCGGAATACCTAAGATCCAACAAACATTTAGGGCAATCCAGAATATTCTCAACGAACGCATTACCTGGCAGAGTAGTGTATAGAATCAATAAATTCGTCTAGTCTCTCACGTTCTGATTCTAGCAATAGACGCGGCTTCTTGTTTCTTCTGCTCATATCGATATCCATCTGGAAAGGTGGAGGAGACGACGTCACACGAACGGACAGGATAATCTATTTGCAGAGGGCAGTGTTATTTCAATACTAACTTGAGACATTGCTGGAGATGTCCGCGCGTCTGTGTTCATACTCACTGGTTAGGCAATGCACTTTGTTGGATAAACTGCCACAGGCGCAATTGATTCTGGACGAACAATCGACACTGATCACAGGCACACTGCGTTTAGGCCCTTCTTAGAGAAGTAGAAGCAGTAGTATCCTGGTAGGTATAAGGGATTTCGTAGTTATCTTTGGGCTGTGGAGGAGAAGTAGGGAGGGGTTGATCGGGTTGATCAAGTGGCTTTGCAGCTCTCTGGGATACTAGTGGAGTTATCCAGCTTTAGTGCCTGAGGTGTCGATAATATAAGGTGTTATCCTACCGAACAAGTCAGGCACACATATCAGAGAGAAGCCGTAGCTAGAAATTAGGATACCCTTGTCCCAACAACACCCCTCGAAGTCAGAACACACTTGTCCATATCCGGTGTAGTCTTTACTTTTTGATAAGTAACATGACCGAATCTCACAAGCCGATACTTAAGCCTCATTGTCCCATTCTGAATCATGCGACAGACATATTGTTTGACCAAGAAGCCTGGAACGACTTACTTTAACTTCTTTTGACGGAAGCCCGGAAGATCTATGAAACTACTTTGTTGAACAATGTGATTAGTCTGGTGAGGGCAAGGAAGAGGACCAGTAGCAACGAATATTGAAATAGAAGCTGCAACCACCCTTGAGTCTCCCAGGCCTGTTGAAATCTCGGTGTAGTATGTGGTAAAGTAACGTATCACGTTCCCAATCTTAGATCCACGACCAAGCTTCCCTCTTGTTGATTCCCGGTTATCAGGAAGAAACAGGTTATAGAGTAGGAGTGGTATTGTCAGTATGGCATTCTACAAGACTTAAACCGTCACTAGATTAGCGGGCGGTTAATCTGTGATATGTGAAGGCGACAAATTTATCAATCTTCTACAAGCTGTGCTGTTTCTCTTGATTATTATCCCCATTGCCGCATCATTCCTACCGTTCCGGTGACCTAAAAGTCATCAAAAAAGCATTATTGACCATTGGACACAGAAAAATATCAGATACAATAACGCGCAAGCAGTAAACACGCAAGCAGCCAATCAGTGTATTCCTTGGTCCCTCAGTATTAAAAGATGGCTGTATATACGTCCGAATTCAGATGATACTGGGGTCTGGTCAATGTATTCAAAAGGATTGCTGTCCCAAGCCAGGCTTTAGATAGGCTCGAAAGAAGTAATTATTGAGATTGGACACCACTGGCTTCCGATGATTTCATCACCACACAGTACTTGCTCGCGGTGTGATATGACCTCCGAACAGTACAGGCGACGGATAGTGCTCCGGAGCAGATATTCATCAGTGAAAATGGGCCGGGATGCCTGAAGAGTGAGAATGAACTGAGGACTAGACTAACTAGCATGCTAAGACTGGCCCGGATAAGTAGCCATAACTAGTACCGTGGACCTAGACTAGTAGCATCTCACACCCTCAGGGCTGCCCGTGTGCCATACCTGAAGTGGCAAGGAAGAGTCTGCTTACCCAATGTTCCCAGAACCCCATGAAAAATTGAATAGTTAGAGTTTAGGAGAGTTCAGTGCTGACTAAGTGTAATCCTAGCGTGTCGTCTCAGCCGAGGGCGCTGACCTGTAACCACGCCGAGGGCGCGAAGAAAAGCGGGAGGGTTGGAGCCTGGGAGGGAAACGAGGACCAAAGAAAAGAGGGAAAGTGGGGTTTTTTTTTTCTCTCTTTTCTTACCTTTCCTTTTTCAGATTAAAAATTTAACACTCCCACCTCAACACTTGGGGCGTTTTTATAAGATCTTCTCCCTCCGACACTCTCTCACAAAATTTTCACCTAGACTCCTCCCACCTTAATACCAGAATTCCACATCTTTCATTATGGCTGACGAGGTTTACGAAGGTGCCATTGGCATCGATCTTGGTATGATTACTCCCCTCGCCCCTCATTTTGTCTGCTTTCGAATTTTTCGTCTTCAGTTATGAAGATGCGTTTGGGACATCACTGACTATGACTTTTTAGGCACAACCTACTCCTGTGTTGCCAACTATGAAGGCACCAATGTTGAGATCAGTATGTTTTTATAAGCCGTTTGTAAACGGTCAGGCCTATTGACTATCGTTAGTCGCCAACGAGCAGGGTAGCTACACAACTCCCTCCTTCGTTTCCTTCACCGACAAGGAGCGTTTGATTGGTGAGGCCGCCAAGAACCAGGCTGCTATGAACCCCGAGAACACTATCTTCGATATCAAGTGAGTGAAGAAATGCTTTGCCCTTGTCCTGTACACACAAGTCTTAATGTCTCCCAGGCGTCTCATTGGTCGCCGGTCTGAAGATCCCATTGTCAAGAAGGATATCGAGTCGTGGCCTTTCAAGGTTGTCGATCAGGGTGGTAACCCTGCCGTCGAAGTCGAATACCTCGGAGAGAGAAAGACTTTCACCCCTCAGGAGATCTCCTCTATGGTTCTGATGAAGGTAATTGAAGTCTTATCCTAATCAGACCTGAAACCCATGCTGACATCGGAAACAGATGAAGGAAGTCGCAGAGACCAAGCTCGGGAAGAAGGTTGAGAAGGCTGTTATCACTGTGCCTGCCTACTTCAACGACAATCAGCGTCAGGCCACCAAGGATGCCGGTGCTATCGCTGGTCTTAACGTGCTCCGTATCATCAACGAGCCTACTGCCGCTGCTATTGCTTACGGTCTCGGTTCTGGAAAGTCTGAGAAGGAGCGTAATGTTCTGATCTACGATTTGGGTGGTGGTACTTTTGATGTCTCTCTCCTCAACATCCAAGGAGGCGTCTTCACTGTCAAGGCTACCGCCGGAGATACTCACCTTGGTGGACAGGATTTCGATACCAACCTCTTGGATTTCTTCAAGAAGGAATTCCAGCGCAAGACCGGAAAGGACCTTTCTGGGGACCCCAGGGCACTCCGCCGCCTCAGAACGGCCTGTGAGCGTGCCAAGCGGACTCTGTCAAATGCTACCCAGACAACGGTCGAGATTGACTCTTTGTTCGATGGAGAGGACTTCAACTCTTCCATCACTCGTGCCCGTTTCGAGGACCTCAACGCTAAGTCCTTCTCCGGCACTCTTGAGCCTGTTCAACAGGTTCTCAAGGATTCTGGTCTTGAGAAGAGCCAAGTTGACGAGATCGTGCTTGTTGGTGGTTCCACTCGTATTCCTCGCATCCAGAAACTCCTCAGCGATTTCTTCGATGGCAAGAAGCTCGAAAAGGTACTTATCAAGTTCAATAGCAAGTCTTCATTGATCTAGAAACTGACTCGGATAACAGAGCATCAACCCTGACGAGGCCGTTGCCTACGGTGCTGCTGTCCAAGCTGGTATTCTGTCCGGAAAGGCCACCTCTGCCGAGACTCAGGACCTTCTGCTGCTAGATGTTGTTCCCTTGTCCCTTGGTGTCGCCATGGAGGGCAACATCTTCGCTCCCGTTGTTGCCCGTGGTCAAACTGTTCCCACCATCAAGAAGCGCACTTTCACCACTGTAGTCGACAACCAAACGACTGTCCAGTTCCCTGTTTACCAGGGCGAGCGTACCAACTGTGCTGACAACACCTCCTTGGGCGAGTTCACATTGGCCCCCATCCCCCCAATGAGAGCTGGTGAAGCTGCCCTCGAGGTTGTCTTCGAAGTTGATGTCAACGGTATCCTGAAGGTCACTGCTACCGAGAAGTCGTCTGGCCGTACCGCCAACATCACCATCTCCAATGCTGTTGGCAAGCTATCCACCACCGAGATCGAGCAGATGATTGATGGTAAGTTTTCGTCTTCAAACACTAAGATGCTTTTTTTACTCACGCGAGTTCCAGACGCCGCCAAGTTCAAGTCCAGCGATGAGGCTTTCACCAAGAAGTTTGAATCTCGTCAACAGCTTGAGTCCTACATCTCTCGTGTTGAGGAGATCGTTTCTGACCCCACCATGTCTCTCAAGCTTAAGCGTGGCAACAAGGAGAAGATCGAGTCCGCTCTCAGCGACGCCATGGCACAGCTTGAGATCGAGGATTCCACTCCCGAGGACCTCAAGAAGAAGGAGCTCGCTCTCAAGAGACTCATCACCAAGGCCATGGCTACCCGTTAATTATTCTGAGCCTTGTTTTGCTATTATAATTGTATGTCTTGAGACCAGGGAGCTTGCCTTCCGTGTTACCCTCCCACCTTTCTTGCTGTTTTTCGTGAAGAAGCATCTTGCTACACATGAGATCAAAGACCATTATGTTACCTACGGACCCTTTCTGGATTTGAAAGTGTTTATTTATGATTTGGGAGACAAATATGAAAAGTATTTTTTTTTCCGTGTTAATTAACGTTTACGGAAAGCTCGATTGTAATTGTAAGAAAGTATCTCCTAGAACACTCACCTTACATGTGATGTGGACTGTGGAGCTCGTCCATAGGAGGTTCGCCTATAATTATTCTGTCGAAATTATTTAAGGTGCTATTATGACTTGATGATCCGACTGCCGCCTTTGATTTGGTATCCCTGGTCAGTTGCTTTGCTCTATGCGCGTGGTGATTTGGTCCGGAGTTGGAGCCAACCTCGACTGAGGGACCTGTTTGTCTACATTGCTTGGGATTATCTATTCTTATTTTATCTTTTGCTTTGTCACTGCATTTCGGCTGTGAGCCTTAAGCATGGTGCTGGCGAAATCATTCCATTCTCTGTTGAGTGACGAGTCCGATCTAAGTGTTTCCGATGCCGGGTGGGTCCAATCCTTTTCCATCTATGGCCGGGCCAAGCTAAGCTGTGAACAGCAGTTTCAAATTTGCAACCTCTGCCACAACCTTGCGGATAACGTTGTCGAACCCGCGCCACAGCGATCATTAAATGACAACACAAAGACCAAAACAATGTCACCAGTCACCTCACTCTGCAGAGTTGGCTGGATACGATGCTTAAATCCTATTGTTCCAGTCTATTCCTCTTTCCCGCTCCTCGGCTTACAGTCTCGGTGCTTGTCTCAGCACCTGTCTCAACATTTGATCGCAGGCTCGCCTGGATACCGTAATTTTTCGAACTCACCATCTCTTTACAAGAAGAGAGAGAAATCGAACCCCTCTACCAGCACGAATAACGAGGAGAGTGTCCCCAAAACTGCACCTTCTGATGACCCTTACGACCTTTCCCAGCTGCATAATGGCATCGCCGCTGCTTTGTCCAACCTGAAGGATGATCTCTCCAAGTTACGCGGTGGTGGACGCTTTGATACAAACTCCATTGAGAGCCTTCGTGTGAAACTGAGCAGAGCGAGCAAAGAGACCCTGAGACTCGGAGATCTCGCCCAAGTGATACCGAAGGGTGGACGCATGGTCACCGTCCTAGCTGCAGAAGAGGATGTATGCTTCTGACCTTCCGTTTTTCTTGATAGTAACGGGGCGATCACGCCACGGTCCTTGCGTTTGAGCTGATTCTGACCCATCTGATCTGGCATTTAGCACGTAAAACCAATAATTTCGGCAATCATTTCCTCCGATCTGTCTTTGACCCCTCAAGCCGATTCTCACAACGCTCTGCAACTCAATATCCCTATCCCACCTCCCACCAAAGAATCCCGGGACCAAGCGATCACCATGGCTAAAAAAGCAATGGAAAGAGCGGCTGCCGCAGTGCGCGATTCAAGAGGCCTTGTACACAAACGGCTCCAAGATATGCAGAAAAAGAAAACCGCTAGGCCGGATGATGTCCGGAAGGCACAGGAACAAATGGAAAAGGTATCAGAGAAAGGGCAGAAAGACGTGAAAGAACTCCTCGAAGCAGCCAAGAAGGCCATGGAAAGAGCGTAACTAGCCATTAAATCAGTGACCTTTGCTAGGGCTAGTAATATTACTACTGTCACAAGCGCAGAGACCATGAACACCTGCAGCTCTTAGTATCTACACGCAAGCCCCGGATGAGTCACAACTCGAGGCCCAGTTGATTAAATGAAACCAGGACATACATGACTTAGTATACACGAGATCAGAAGTTAAACACGATTTGTAGGGCGGCCTGAAGTCAAGAGTGATTCCACCTTAGCAAAAAACTGCATGTCTTTGCCAGCTGGAGAATAGGTTCCGTTGTTTTTCAGGTTCTTCGCGATTCGATCTAGGATAGGAGACTGGACAGACTGATCGCCTAAGGACTTTGGATATTTGCCCTTAACGAGCAGTTCAATCAGTGCCTTCCGATCCTTCTCGTCGATTGGGTTGAATGTGACAGCGTTAGGGTCGACAAGGTCGCCTTTCCGCTGCGAAAGTTTCTCCGCGAGTTCTTGAGACAATCTCTGCGCCTCTGCTACGGCAAGGGACTTCTCTGCATCGTCCAAGAACCGTACATATTTGCCTTGAAAAAGCCGTCTGCCCATTTCAGAAGGGGACACATAACCATGGGCAAAGCGAGCGCTGAGCGAGGACAGCTTCTCAGCGACTCCAGCTGCGTGGGCACCGACGTCGGTGGGTAGAGATGGCCATGTTTCTTTTAAAGAGTCCATAGTGACCGGTTCTGGATCGTACCGAATTGGCACGGGCCTTGCCTGCTCTGCGAGTTCACGATACTTTTCGTCAACTGCTTCCTCAGTAGCCGCATCCTCAGCCATGGTGTCAAAAACATGCGGGCCACGAGAGACATTTCGTTGCCTGGACTTATTTCTGCCATTTTGCATGGGAGATTTCGGTCCGCCGGTACGGGCAGATGACACGTTGCGAGGAGTCCGAAGCCTTGGCCCTCTAATGATGTTCGTAGGCTGAGAACCGTTTCGACTGGCAGCTAAGGATCTTGCATCAACAACGCGTCGAAAACGATGACGATCAGAGCCTGCATTTTGAGGATTTAGGCGTGCTGGTGGAATATTTGACCTTCTAGGTTGAGCCTGAGAAAATCCGGTTGAATTCGAAGTCGAAGGTGTAGTAAGTCCGCGAGTGCCTGCGATGGTTTAGAACCTCATCAAATGGAGTAAAAATAGTGAGCCCAAGTCTGCATCGACAACGTCCAGGAGTCTTGTTGGATATTGATCAAGACTTCCTAAGCGAAGGTATGATGGCAGGTCCATGATTGGCATCACCACGAAGCAGACTTACCGGGTTGACCTGCGTTGGCCTGGGCTGATAAGTGAGTGGCAGAAAAGCAACGGACGAATATATAAGGCCTTTCAGCTATCCTGCCACGCCCATAGCGTAAAAGTGGGACCCGTGACTGAAACATCTTCGATGGTGAAGGCGCTGTATTCCAGTCATGTTGGTGAGTAAAAATGTTAGTTGCAAGCCGCGGATACTGCATGATCACGTGCATCGTGCCTGACACAACGCTCCATCCGGCCTCACCAGCATCATCAAACCCTGTATTCACATAATCTATCTACTACTTACTCGCTTGTATCCTTTACTTCTTCTTCAACATGCTTCGGCGTAAGCCAACAGCAATAGCTGTGACATCAGAAGACCTTGCTGCCTTCGAAGATGCGCGACTTCGCAAGCTGATCCAAAGAAACGGAGATACAAGTCATGCCAAGGAGATATATCCTCTCAACTTTGACCCAAGCGACGAACTAAAGCCTTTGCCTGGAGACAAGGCAAGAATCGTCCGTTCGCGCGAGGAGCGAATAGGCGTTGTCCGGCATCATTGAATCATCATGCAAGTCTTCCTTTCCGTACTCATCTGTCCTTGCACTTGGCATTTCCCAGCCTTGGTGATCATCATCTCAGTCCCTCCCTCCGATCGCTTGAAGAAGTTCTGCCCCTCTTTTCCAAACCCAATAGTGATCGGTGCGGTGAATGCTGGCATACCGCATCGACAGAACCGTTCTACCACATGTGTCTCACTCGATGATTTGAACCACTTTGGAGAAAAGAAGTCCGAGTCTGACAGTCATAGTCTATCCGACGTTGTCTTGAATCTAACACATACGTTCTTAGTGTTTCAACAGTCCATTACTATGATCATTCCTACCCACACCTGGTCGTGTCTCGCATATACTTCGCACAAGATGGCGAGGAAGCCATTACACACTTCAACGTGTCGCTGTTATCACAGATTGGTAGGACATTCAAGTCTCCAGGCACATGAGAAACAATTGCGATAGGCCGCGAAAGGCGGGTTGATATACCTTGTTTCAATTGCAGCAAATGGGTATGATACTGTGCAGATATTTACTCAAAGGGTATATAAATCGGGAACAAGCACTCCTGACAACAGTCATGTAGGAGGAAGGTGGTGGAAGGGGAAGAAAGAAATCGACGGCCAACTCAATAGAATTTCAATAGAAACCTATTGTATCGGGACCAGGACCAGCTGAACACGGCAGTACCTAGTGCTGATTTAACTTATCGGCTTTTCATAAAGCTCATGGAAGTTGTCGTTTTGAAACCTCCTCCGCGCCCATATCGATAGAATAGTTCCAGCGTCGTTTCAAGCCATTAGGGTCGTACACGCTGGCAACGCTTTGCTGCCAGTCACGGGCAGTAAAAAGTACTTGTTGTCCTGTGAATTGAGTTTGCGGGAGCGACTGAGAAGACGCAATTGGGGCAATCTTTGTAGCAGGAGGTCCGTATTGAATGGGAAATGAACCTGTGATAGATGACTGTATTGCCTGCGAGGAATTGCTCATGGCCATTGGCGGTGAATTGGTATGGACAGTGGATGGTCCGATAGAAAATGCCATGTCCCATTGACTTTATTAATAGTCGGTTTGTTAGTGACCTTGTTCTTAGTTGATAACATGAGGTGACACGGAATTCACTCTTACTTGATGATGCGAGTAGGGTCCCAGCTATTCTCATCAACTAGAGGCGCGTCTATAGTGTGGCTTGAAATCGATTGAGATGGGATTAACCCCAAGGGCTGAAGCTGGGACGAATCGGACTTTGACTCTTTAGTATCAGTAGACATTGGAGGAGTAAGTTGATATGCTGCATGACCCACTCTACTCGGTAAATTGGAGGCTTGGTTCAGCTGAGGACCGTAGCTTGAATCTGAAGACGGACTCGGATGGTATGGCTCCGAGGGACTACCATATGGAAAGGTCGGTTTCAATTCGAATGGTCGACTGACATCAGCAGAAAATGCAAAACGCAATGAATCAATTTGGGCTTGTAATTCTGGCATGGGCCAAGCAGTTGAACAACGCTCAAGGATTCGCATATGTCGCGTAAAGTACTCTCTGGCGTCCGTGTGAAAATTCGGATCTGGAGAAGTTATCGCAACCTAGAGGGGGTTCAGTGGAAAGCCACAGAAGAAAGAAACGGATGTTGACACTTACGAGGTGTAGCATGGTGCAGGTCAAGACTGTGTAGATTGTGAAATTAATGCCTCTTTGCATGAAAAGGAGGCCAGAAAGGCCAAAGCGGTTCAAAATGGCTTCCTGTAGTCTACATAAGTACTTGGCAGAAGAATAACATAGTGCCATGTGCATCTTCCAGCCGCCTCCGGCTGTAAAAGATTTTGATGCTAATAGTTGAGGTCGATGAAGCAAAATGATCCCGAGATGACAGTGGGAATGCATATTCCCAATGAAATGAGAAGGTATCCAAGGGGGCGAACCGTCGGGCGGATAATTCACTTGTAGGTCGGGCGGCAGGCTCTGAAGCCAATCAGTGAATAAAGGGTTCTTCTCGACGAATTTAGGGTTTGCCCCCCAGTCCTTCTGCTTCTTAATCTTATGGTATATGTCTGCAATGGTGCGGATATGGGATGCGTTCTTGACAAAATAGGCATACTGCCTAGATCGATCAATCTCAAATTGGTCAAGGCCTCTGATATCCAGTGTCGGGCTCATGTTCACAGTGCCAGGGTCCACACCATAATCCGAGCGGCCTAGCTATGTCAGTTTCATACGTATCACGGTCGACACGAAAACATACCCTGGGGCGCACCGATCATGACTTCGACGACTAGGAGAGCTTGCCACACTCTTGTTTGCACCAAACATTCGACAGGACTCAAATCACAGGACCGTTGCTCTGTATGAATGTTGTTGTGCTCATGTATATCCAGATCTTTAGCCATTGAGACAATGGTCTTAACAGTTTGCCAAGAACGGTAGTAATAGCCTTTCTTTGGCCGTGATTCTCGAGCCTTAAGAAGTAAGAGTAATGCCTGAATTGTGCTCAAGCGCGGCTCATCCATGAAGCTGGATTCGTGTCCTGGGTATCAGACGTTGACATTAGAGATATGCGATCAATCATACGTTGCAGAATCGACTACAGGGGCTCACTCACTATTGGCTAACGCAAGCCATTGGGCTCCCTGAGCTGGATCGTCCGACAACCTTCCAGCGCATGCAAACATCGCCTCAAGTAGTAGCGGTGAAATAGAGCTTCTTTCGTGCTGCCACTGGAAGTAAAGATGAGACCTATGGACAACCGGAACATAGGGGTGTATATCGTCAAAATAAATCTTGAAATACTTCATGACCTCATCATCAGATGGCATTAGTTCAGGTGGAATACGTATGGTGGAACCGGCGCCGGTACTGAGAGGGGGAAGTTTTTCATCTGCATCATCCTGCGTTGGAATTTCCGGTTCGGCCTTCTCTCTTCTTTGTTGCCTTATATAGGGCGCTGCATGCGTGTAAGTGACCTGGTCAAATACTCATTCAGGGAGTCTAGTGCTCACCAATGCCGCTTTCATCTATTCTAAGTTCGCCGAGAACCTCACTTAGGTTCTCAGCAGTTGATGGATCGTGTTCAGAAAAGACATCCCTGTCGGCAGCGCCGAAATTCTGCGCATGCTCATCCGTGAAACCTGGTGGTTGTTGATAGGCATGATGCGAAACGGATACAGGAATATGTGACGACCGTAGGTCATAAGTGCCGGCCTGACTAGGAGCAGGTTGTGCGAATTGTGCATACACACTGAGGTCATCGTTGTAAGAGTGGATATGCCCTGCAGTATGTTGACCATTATCTCTGAAGCCTTGCGACACCGCAAATGAAGAAGCCGATGATTCCGGTGCATTAGAGGTAGTTAAAGAACCAGCAGGATTCGGTTCGATACTTGGTCCAGCGAAGTAATCATTGTCTTGTCCAACCGTTGGTGGGACGCATACAAGTTTCAAGCGAGTGCATGCTGAGCATGGCCATGTATTGGTTGTAGCAGCATCACACTTGATTTTCCGCTTCCTGCAACCATTACAGGCTCGCATGACTAATGATACTCTTTAGTCCCTATTCATTGCAAAACAGAGCCCGAGATAATGTAATGCCATACCTTTGAGTCTTTTGTGTCGGTTATGTTCGTCAACAAAAACATAGTCTGCATAGAAGCCATCAACCACTGGATTAAGGGTAACAATAGGGATAGTTTTAGGACGAGTGCTGCGTCTCAAGACTTGAGAGCCGTATGTATTGGGGAGGCCTTACTTTTCTGCCCTTCTCTTGGGGCACCAATAGGTGCTGCAAAAGAATAACTCTGCATAATTGCGCAGATTGAAATGCCACCAAGGTCGCTCAACAGAATGCTAATGCCCCCTCGAAGTCGAGATACAACGGTGCTATTGCAAGGAACTTGGAGTAAGTCCGCAAGGCCTGCCTTGTTGGGACAACTCAAACCGTATGTGGTTGTAACGCAGGGGAAGAGCGTTCGAGCCTGTGACGCAGGCAAAGCAGTGCGAAGTTGATAGCGTCGCCTGAGGGCAAGAATAGCGCAGTAGGGGTTCGCTTTTTTGTGACTGTAGAATATATGTCATGAAAGAGCCGCGTAAACAGAGTTGGGCGGAAGGCAGTTGGTCCTGATTTGAAGGCCGTTGGTGACGTTGTATGCAGAATCACCGTCCATGCATTCACTTAGGCGTGCGATTTTATAGATGCGATAGGAATGTATGGGACGAGCCACTGTCGTTTCAAGCGAGAACTGACCCGGACAATTGTTGCAAATGGGCCACCGGGAAATCTCGGTGCAAGTATGGATATGGAAGTCTGTGATATGAAGAGTCTGGCGCAATTATATATCAATTTCCAGCGTGAGAGATAGACAGCTCATAAGCACATCGGTTGTTTAGAAAGAAGCCGCATTCGTGAACTACACGCTGTCAATTGGTGTGGACACTCGCGCAACTTGAGTGCAACCACAAACAAAACGTGCGGCACGAACAAGAGAAGCTGGGAGGCATAGAGCAAGCTAAACAGGTGCTCGCTAGCAATGGAACGATGGAAAGGAGAACAGCCAGAAAACCCAAATTATGAGCATGAATATGTGAGGAGGCACAGATTGTGTAAACGGCGGAGATGATTGCCCTCAAGTGGAGTGGGAAGGAAGAGGGGTGCGAGAAGAGACACAAACGGGGAGGTGGGGAGGAGGAGATGAGGGTACATACGCTGCTGTGATCAAGGCGTATAGAGGGTTATCCAGTCTGCATCGTAGTATCAACTATCAGACTTGAAACTCCAGCAGATTCTCGATTAGAAAAGAAAGTGAACAGTATTGGCGCATCACACCCTGATTTGGCGGTCACCATCTAGAATGATTCTGGGATGCGACCACTGGGCGGACAACTTTGGTTTGTGGTCCGGCGAGTTGGTAACGGCTAATATTGCTGAACCATAGATATTTGGTGTTATTAGTGAAGAGGAAACGTTGATGTGATGAAAACCCTGGGTGCATTGAAAAGAGGTCCACCGAGAAGATGACTGTCAGTTGAGAAACAGGAACAACTCTCTGGGCTGCCCGGGCTGGAGGAGTTGCGGAACCCACGCATGCAGTAGTTAGTTAGTACCACCTTGGTTAGGTCATCACACCTTTTGCCGCCGCGGTCCTTAGAGTCGATTTATTATCCACGACAAGTGACGCCTGTCGGCCCGACTGATTACCCAGAAGGACCGGTACTAAATACAGTACACATTTACACTTTTAGGGATTACTATGGCTATTGACAATGGAGCATGAGTAAGTGGCGTCGCATGTCAAACAATGCCTTCGTGTTTTCCGGCTCCTAGTGCAAGGTTAGCATCAGCTATCACACGTCAGGGCTGATCCTCAACGCTTGGACATCTGGATTCTAGAACGTCCCGTTGGTAGCTGCAACTCTTCTCGCGTGTCCTGCCTGCTTCTGCAGCCAGTTGAGCCTGTTGCGATACGTATTCACTACGAGAATTTGGCTCGTCATATCATACATACATGATTAAGAACATAGATGATTGACGATATGACTGTTAATAGCCAACTCTTGCCTGGTCATCATCTAGGTGTGTGCTACTATTCAAACCTGCCATGGCATGGAAACAATGGCGTACTACTGTTCAGCACACGGAGAGAGAAAGACTCCGTTGCCTGCTGTAGATCAGGTCAGTGTCCAGAGCTGGGGTCGTATCTTATTTCCTGAAACTATGTGCTTCGGTGTGTTTCTTTTAATATATGCCCAATCATCCGTGTAGAGAATAGGCATGTGCTTCTCATTATAATGGCACATATTTCTATTCCTAATAATTAGCAATAATCATTGATGATTGCGACGAATTCTTCTCTGAGCGACAAGCGACTATGGGGCCTGTTTTAACGGTTCGCTGAATATTAATTCGGACGTTGTATAATTTCGGGTCATTGTTGTTCCACGGCTTGTCGATGAGACCTACATTACGGGATAGTACTTGTCCCTCCGGGTCATCGGAGCGACCTAACTCCGCACGGGCTTCTTTGCTTCAATTTCCAACCACCCCTGAGTGAAAAGGCACATGGCGTCCGCAGTGCAGAATTCGAATCCAACTATATTGAACGTTGCCGATCTTCCCACTCGATTGGGTCCGGCTGCGTTGAGCAAGGCGGGCACAGATAGGGTCGGGACTCTTGCATCAATTTTTCCACCTTCTGCGTACTCACTTGATTGTTGGCCCACCGGATACTCATCTTCAGATGCTAGCGACGAAGAAGACGTGACGGAAGAGCCGATTGATGAGCAAGAAATATATGGTAAGCTATTACTCAGATATTTGCATGTGTCATAGTATCGCAGGAGAATCCGAAATTGACCCTCACCTGTGTTGTCAGATCTCATATCATCTATATCTGATCCAGAGCATCCGATATCTCTAGGAGCACTTGCCGTCGTTTCGCTTCCAGATATTGCCATAAAGCCGACTCTTCCCGAGGTGCCGGAGTCAGTTCTTCGAACAGTATCTGTTCTTATCACACCTACAATCACACATTGCAGTCTTGCAACAGTAATAGGCCTCGGCGTACGTGTTCGGCTCGAGCAGTCACTCCCACCACGGTTTCGTGTGGATGTGCGCATCAAGGAAGGCTCTCACAGTACAGCCGAAGAGGTGAATAAGCAACTAGCTGATAAAGAAAGAGTGGCTGCTGCATTGGAAAATGGAACCCTAATGGGTGTAATTGCAAAAATGCTTGAAACATGTCAATAAGCTTGCTGACTCTGCAATTGTTGCGAATTTACTAAAGTTGCAATCGGTCAATTCCTCCTTGCTATACACTATGAATGATATTTATGTGAATAATGTTATTGTAATTCATTCTACTGGTGACTTCAAGTACAACTTGCGATGTGTAGTTGCTATCTCGGCACATTGTGGTAGTAGTCTTTCACGGGTCCAAAACCCCACTTTCTTTCAATCCCCTCCAGAGGTCTGGCTCCAAGAACTTGCTCACTGTAACATCTTCTGCTAGACCCTTGCGCCTTCTAGTCTTGAGAACAAAATCGCGAGCGGTGGCCATTGCAGGGGCCATCTCCAACGGTTTTACCTTGACTTCACGATCCAGCGGATCTCCTGGGACAACACTCCATTTGTCAAAAACGAGACTGACGGCTGCTTGGCCCTGGGTATGAATTCTGAGGTCTGTCTCAAACCCAAAAGAATCTATCACTGGCACCAAGCCGCGGACGGAATAAAGTGGTGTCCCTGCAATTGGCCCATCAGAAAGCACGTGGCCTCTCCTTCGAGATAGGACGGTGTACACCGATGCGACCGCATCTGCAGGGCCCGTCATTGTGCAAGAGTATATGGGTTCCATCAGACGTGGTGATGCCATTAAAAAGGAAGAGTAAATGGCCCGCCGAGACGTGGGAATGATTTGGCCACCCCCTCTGTAGATAGCTTGATCGGCAAGCGAGACATCGGTGAGTCGGAAACGCGTGTTACGGATCGCTAAGATACTAGTCAGCCAATTGAACAGATCTTATGCTTCGACACTTCGAATGCACAGTTGCAATTTGCGCCAAACAGGAGAAATCTTACGTTCTTCACAGAGAGGCCCTTCCCTCGTGCCCCAGCTGAACCCCTGGGTGATGGAATCCCTGACACTGCCGAGGAGTTTTTTGTCGACTTGAGAAGGTAGGGTGTCGTCCTGCAGAATATTGGGACCCATTTCATCTGGACCGAACGCCCAGATGCTTCGCGCTGCCAATTTGTCCCATTCGTACTTTTCTTCAAAGAAGCGAGCCACTTTGCGGATCGGATCCTTGATGCTGACCCTGCCGCTCTCAATATCCTCGGCAATCCCATCATCCAAAGGCTCTGCAATCATGGTGATCTTGTTCTTCTTGTTTGGAGTGATAGAATAGCACATGATAGCTGACGTCTCAACAACAGTCTCGCAAAAGCGGGTAACAGGATCCGAGACTTTGATTTCCATCTCTGAGAATAACTTCCGAAGATCATGAAGTACGCAGTCCATGTAGAGCTCACCGGTCCCTAGAAGCACGTGTTCACCAGACTCCTCCACCTTGGTCGAAACCAAGGGGTAGCTCTTGTTCACCTTACGAAGACCATCAAGCATCTTAGGCAATTCAGATGGATTGACTGGCTCAACGGCGACCTTGAATACAGATTCAGTCATATGCCGAATTGGGCTGAAGATGTAGGCGTCCTCATCGTCATCCAGCCGAAGAGGCACAAGAGTTGCTGTCTTCACGATGGAATTGTCCACACCCCCTAGAAGAACTAGATTGCCGGCAGGAACCCCGGTTGTTGGGATGCTATAAGAAGTCTCCGCAATCCAGGTGTCAGAGATCGTTGCAACAGCCATATCCTCCGCGTCTTCGGGTGTATAGCCTTCACCAAGCACACGAACCTGTTGGCCAGGGCTGACTGTGCCACTCATGATCCTTCCGAATGCGTGGAATTTCGACGCATCTGTGCTAGTAAAGAGCTTTGTGACATGTACAACAAGTGGACCTTCAGGGTTACACGCAGCCATGGCCGCCGCAATTCGTGTGTCCAAGGGCCCTGTGTAATGGCGCTCCAACTTCTTCCGTGCACCGTCTGCAGGAGAAGGTACGTGCTGGAGTATCATATCCACGAATCCTGTTGCAGGGCCAAAGAATTTATCGCAAACTAGGTGAAGTAGGGCTTTTGCGTCAAACTTCAGCTGTGACGGTTTGAGATCAATACCGACACTGGACAGAGTTTCCTTGAGGTCTTCAGGACTTTCGCTTAGAGTGTGCGAATAAAGCTTGTAGATAGGCTCCAGAACAAATTTTACAAACGCCCTCTTTGATTGGTCTTCCAAACCTTTTCGTGTGAATTTTCGACTCCTAGGGTTGTAGAAAATGTCTCCCCAGAGGCGTTGACTGAGGTCAAAGGACTCAATCTGAGGGTAGGTCTCTGCATACATCCTAGCAAATGAATGTAAGGTAAAGCACCACCCCATAGAGGCGCATGCAAAGGAAACATTGCCCCGTTCCGGGCTAAGTCGTCTTAATTCGCCCTGACCCGGCAAGGTATTCTCAATAATAGTGTTAACCTCTTCGACGACGTGCTTCAATTTGAAGTAAGCGTCATTGGGCGGTATCTTAAGCTCCAATATCAAGCGGTCCATCTTGTTCAAGACTAGCGTGAGCGGGAGGTCTTCGAGTATAGCGTGCTTGATAATCTGCTCAGTGTTCGCTTGCACACCTTCGACAACGTCGACTACCAGCACGACACCGTCAGCTAGCCGACATGCGGCAGCCACCTCATCAACAAAATTCACATGCCCTGGCGTGTCAAGGATGTTGAAAAGATGGGATTTGCCTCTCGTGCCTTGGAGGACCAAGCTCATGGGCGCCGCTTTGATAGAGAGACCCCTTTCCCTCTCTAAAAAGTGAACATCGGTATAACGGAGTTGTTCTTGACTCCGCCTCCCGGCTCGTTTCTCCAGACGATCGGCGATATCATGGGTCTGCGTGACAAGCATGTCCATAAAAGCCGTCTTGCCGTGATGTAAATGACCAACAACTGCTATATTCCTTATCTGTTCCGGAAAGTTGAGCAAATCCATCATGAACTCTCTGGAGTAGTGAACCGGCGGCAGCTCAGCTTCTTCGATTGCGAACTTTTTCTGTTGAACTGGTGCAATTATAGGTTCTGAAAGAGGTTGAGCGTCCTCCTCCTGAACAAGAGTCTCAACATCCTTCCCGTACACTTGCTGGGCACTCGGGTAATACTGTTTATCTTCATGAAGGATAACAGCGTTTGAAGGACCTTCTATAACACGGCTCAGTCCAATTATACGTCTGATGAAAGCGTGACTCTGATGAACACGTACCGTCCACTTCCATCAATTGATGATCACTGGCCTCATCATCGTCATCTCCCGCAAAAGCCTCCTCGAAGGTGAACGTTTGAGGTTCAGCACCTTCATGATGAGCGGATTCCTCATCCGATTCTCCCACTTCGCCAATATAGTTGCCAAATCTTGAAAGATATCTGTCAGGTGCGAATCCAGAACAGGAAGAAGTTAGGGTCTTACTCATCGTAAAAATCATCCATTGTGATGTGCACAAGAATAGCTGGGGAAAAAATGTCTTGCGGGTTCACACGAAAAGTTACCAGCGTTGGAACTGACGGATCATATCTTTTGCGTGGATGTTAATGGGCACAATAACCAGACCTTGCGTCTAACCTCGAACGTTCGACGGAATGATTTGGCAAAGGGGTTGTTCTGCTTTCTTTCTTTCTTCTTCGTAAGTCCTTGTGCTCTTACCCGAAACACTTCTCCGTCCTTCTTCTGCTTCTTTCTTGCTCTGGAGCTGCTGAGGTTGTGTCTGGGTACTTACGAGACAAATCCCGGTCCGAGCTTGGCGTCTTGCTTTGCTCCGTTGAATTTCCTCCGTAAGTAGTACGTTTGTCCGTCGGCCCGCCCCTCTCAAAAGTCAGTCCGATACTGGCCGCTTTCAGTTGGGAGTAGTCTAGTGGGGCGGGCGGCAACACGAACAGTTCCATTTGTCTCACCGATCCCGCTCGACATTTCCTTATTGCACTACTTCCTTGCTTCCCTTCAGCAGTCGAGTTGTCGAAGGTTTGATGTTGCGTTAAGAGTATTTAAATTTTTGTCTCTGTACAGAATACACTGGTCTCAGAAGTCCGATCGATTGGCAGTATAGTGCACGATGTCTTCGCTTCCCCCTGTTTATATTGTTTCCGCGGCCCGGACTCCTGTGGGCTCATTTTTGGGGTGAGTCTTGACACAGATATCAGTATCACCGGGGATGAAGCTGAAGTAACACACTCCAACTTCTGTACAGATCTCTGTCGAGCCAGACTGCCCCACAGCTAGGTTCTCATGCTATCAAAGGTCTGGTATATCAAATGGTCCCGTCGTGATGTGGAATCTGACAGCCTTGTTGTGTAGCTGCCCTCAACAAAGCCGATGGAATCAAGCCATCGGACGTTCAGGAGGTATTCTTTGGTAACGTTCTCTCCGCAAAGTGAGATAAGCCCCACTTGGACTGTGTTGAATTACACCTGATCTAATCTGTCCCTATTAGTGTTGGCCAAAATCCTGCCAGGCAGTGTGCTCTTGGGGCTGGACTTGAAGAGTCGACGGTGTGTACCACGGTCAACAAGGTCTGTGCTTCCGGTCTGAAGGCTGTCATTCTTGGAGCCCAAACAATCATGACTGGTAACGCAGATGTTGTTGTGGCTGGTGGCACCGAGTCCATGTCGAATGCTCCCCACTACCTCCCCAATCTTCGCTCTGGTGCCAAATACGGCCACCAGAACTTGGTGGACGGCATCATGAAAGACGGCTTGACCGATGCAGGCAAGCAGGAACTCATGGGTTTGCAAGCTGAAGAATGCGCACAAGATCACAATTTGAGCCGGGAACAGCAGGACAACTATGCCATCCGGACCTATGAGAAAGCCCAGGCTGCACAGAAAGCCGGTCTTTTCGATGATGAAATCGCGCCTGTTGAACTGCCCGGGTTCAGGGGCAAGCCGGGTCTTACGGTGTCCCAGGACGAGGAACCAAAGAATGTAGGTTCATACAGTGTGTATCTTGGACATCAAGGCTCTTCGCTCACCACTTTTCTTCTTTCAGCTCAACCCCGATAAGCTTCGGGCTATCAAGCCTGCTTTTATCCCAGGGTCAGGAACCGTGACAGCCCCTAACTCTTCTCCTCTGAATGACGGGGCTGCGGCTATCGTTTTGGTCTCGGAAGCAAAGGTGAAAGAGCTGAACCTCAAGCCTATCGCTAAAATTCTCGGATGGGGAGATGCTGCTCACCAGCCTAGTAAATTTACCACTGCCCCGGCTCTCGCGATACCAAAGGCACTCAAACATGCAGGCATCGCCCAGGATACTGTCGATGCATTTGAGATCAACGAAGCCTTTAGCGTGGTTGCTCTCGCCAACATGAAGCTGCTTAACATCCCTGAAGAGAAGGTCAATATCCACGGTGGGGCCGTTGCTATCGGCCACCCTATTGGTGCTAGTGGTGCCCGTATCCTGACTACTTTGCTTGGTGTTCTCAAAGCTCAGAAGAAGAAGATTGGCTGTGTAGGAATTTGCAATGGTGGGGGTGGTGCGAGCGCCATGGTTGTGGAGTCAATTGTTTAACACGCCGATCTCTAGGTCCGGCAAGTGACTTGATCCCATGGTAATCGTTATTTGGAAAGGAGACCACATTGGGCAAATCCACAGTGAAGGGTTCATAATATACACTTTCTAATCACATACTGGTTAAGGTGCTAGACGTCATATAACACAACGTACTTTACAAAAACATAATTAGAAGTTATACAAGTCCTACCCAACTCATTTCGATCACCAAGTCGTGTAATTTGGAAGATGTCTCTCATGCTCTATGGGTTACGGCCCCGCTCCGGTCATTCTTCAATTGAATAACATGTTGTCAGTGTCAACCTGCCGCGCCTAAACTTTTATGCTTGCCTTGTACTACTGGCTTGATGGGTGATTTTGTGAACTGACGTCGCCATCTGTGCCAATACGTACACTTCGAGATAGCAGACCAAGAGAGCGCAGGAGCGCAAGGATATGGAATATGTCGGACGCTCTCCTGCATAAGGTAGGTAGGTTTCCAGGGATCAAAGAAATGAATGAGATAGTGTGTAGATGGATTACGCTAGGTAATTATTGCTCCAGAAACGACCTTCATACCAGGATTCCCAGAAATGGTCGCGACCGACCTAAAACTCCCAAGGCAGAGAGCGAATAATGGTAAATTGTGCAGGGAAAGAAGGTCCTTAGATTGGCCTGTCATCCACAAATATCGCAGGATTTGTTGTGGAGACTTCCGTTCGGTTGAAAAGTTGGTTGTTATGTGTATTGAATATAAAGAAAAAGATTCAGACATATAGCTCAGGTACCAGTAATATATATCCACGTACTTCTGGTCCAGAGCGAGACAGCGTGGGACCGTGAGGATGTAATCCTAGCTGCTCAAGCGAAAGCCCCAACGAATGCCATCAACAAAGCCCCAGCCATGACTGCGATACAGGCTTCAGCGCGTCTGCTGCCTCTGAGTGTTGCGTAACTTGTTTCACTTAAAAAGTCTTCGGCCAGAAGTTCGACAAGCCCCGCGAACAATAAAAGACCACTGCTGATGGCATTTGTGATGCCAACCATAAGTAGCCCTGTGGTGCTCCCTGGGTCGTAGAAATTATGTAGTATGAGGCCGATGGCTTGACCAATAGGCGTGGTGGTTCCGTAAGCGAGAGACATCAGCCAAGGCTTCATGGAGGCTGGGGCAAAAAGGTCTGGAATTAGCGACGCAATCCTTGAACCCAGAGCAAAACCCTCGAACGTCTGATGAAAACAGATTGCGACCAGAAGGACAATGAACGACGTCCCTGTGGCAACACTGAGGGCCATTCCGATAAAGATGCTATGGAAGAGAATCCCGGCCTCTAGCAGTAGGCACTGAAGTAGTTGTCGCTGTGGATTATGTCTAGATAGCTCAATGCTCGACCTTAGGCGCAGGCTGGTGTGAGTGTGTTGATCGCCGGAAGACGAACGCCGATGAACTCGATCACTCTGCCTATGCAAAGGAGAAGTAATGTGTTTGTGTGACCTTCCGAGGTCGATACCATCAATTGGTGCAGCCAACTCTCTAGATATAGACAGAGTAGACTCATCATTCGAGATATAAGGATCTGGTAATGATGTTACTGCATCTGTGCTATCGTACGCCCCAAACCTACCAGGATGGGCATTACTTGCACGATCTTGTTCGGCGTCTAAGTCAGCCTGGAGACCCATACTTGACAAGTCCACGCCGACATCATTCATCAGCTGGTCATGTTCACTTCCGTGAACATGACCGGCTCCCTTTAAAGCAAAGAACATTTCCACAAGCACAACAACAAAGACCGCGATCATGGCAACAAATCCAGCCATGGCACGATATGTTTCGCTCCAAAAGCGAGGAAGACAGGGATCGGTCAGGGAAACAAATGCCGTGGGGAGCAGGTGGACAAAGGCAGTAGCAATAAGCACGCCAGTTCCGAAGTGCCTCGATAAAAAGAGGAATCGACGCGGTATTGGTAGGCGAGGAAATCGACGGGCAAGTACAGGAAACGAACACGCTTGTATCAATGGCATCAGAATATCAGCCTTGGAGAATAAGGGAGCAAAATAGGACATACCAAGTGTGCTTAGCACAAGGATAAGGAAAAGAGCTAGAACGTGTATCGGTGTGTTATAAGCACCTCGTTCCTTTGAGCCACAGCTTGCAGTATTGCTGTTTGGAGCTCGTCGCGCTATCTCAGCCCGAAGGAGAGCATCAGAGAAACTTGCGATTGATAAACTAGCATTTTCAAACCCTGCGGAATTAGCAGGTGTCAGATTATTGTTACTCAAGAACTAGCAATTAACAGTCTTGTTGCTCTTTTCCGGGTGCAAGGCCGGTCTTATTTTTGGTCTTGGGTGCGCTCTAACTCACCAATACAGCTAATATTAGCCTGTTTCCATGATGACGTTTTGTTCATTGTTGTCAGAGGCCCGTGAGATTTCGAGCAACCGCTATATCCATGACCTGATGGCAGGCTCTGCACGCCCACTGCTCCGGTGAAGACTCGGTGTACTTGGAAAAAAGCACGGAAGCACTGCCCGGATAGCTGACTGTGGCTTTATTCAATCAGGTTGGGTTCGAGCTATTTGAAGCGATCAATTGTATGCTTCTCAGGACACTGGTATATTGCACAAGATGTTCCTGCAACTACCGATGGACACGCGTTGACTTGTCGATAATCTTATCTGAGACCTGCTTATATAATCCTAAGTAACTACGTTGGCCCCTCCAGGGATAGGCTAGTGACGACCCGACCTAATCGCTTAGGTACCTACCAGGGTTGTACTTATTGTCAGCCTGAGGGCAGTGGTACCTACCTACGTAGTACTGTAGGTACTGGCAGGCTATACCTATCTGGTAGAGATAGAATTGGACTACCTTACTTCCTACAGTGTACCTCAGTAGGTAGGCCTATCGAAGGAGTTCGAAGGCCCCCCAATCAGGCTCGAGAGTCGCGACATATGTGCACTATCATTTGACAGGCAACCTCGATGGGCAAGTATCCTGTATATCCATTACTTGACGGAGCCACCACTTTATACCCATCGCAAGTAAAGCACAGAACGCGATGGAGTTTGAAAATTGATTACTTGTACTATCTGTTTCTCAATTTGGTCCAGCCACTTACACCTTTCGAACGCGAAGAATTGCTGGGACCGCTCGAGATTTCCGGACAACGTAGTTCCGAGATAGCATCTGAAGAGAAGTGAGAAGCAGACTGGCTTTGGTCATGAGTCATGTCATCCCATTCGCGCCTTTCGAGTAACTCCCATTCTGCGCTCGCCAATTCTCCCATCAATGCTGACTTCAGCTTGTCTACTACTCTGGCTGGAGATGGAAGCCTCCAAGTGCGCATAAATTCTGCACCTTCGGCAGCAAGCAGAAATGAATGCGCCGTGCCGTGCGAATAATGTCCCAACATGGGAAATGACACGGTTCGATGGATACTAGTCTTGGGTGGGTCTCTAGACGTCTTCATCGTTACGTGAATATCTCGCCCAGCAAACGCCCTCGTCAGGGTTGATGGCTGCGCAGGAATTGCCACAAGCAAATGCCATAGGTTTTTTCCCATGTCGCAGATTTCCTCCCACGAGTCTGACGCTGGGTTGAGCCCCTGAGTGCGGCACAGCCAAGCAACATCCCAAGCCAACAATGTCGCTCCTTCGAGAAAAAGGGCGTACGTGCCAGGCTCCTCCTTCGCTAACCTAGGGAGACTTTTGTCAATACACAAAGGCCTTGGCCGAGAGAGACGATGTGAGTCAGGCAGTTTGGGTTCGAATGGAGTAGATGTTGATTGCTGCGAGGAAGCCAGCTTCGAGCCTATATCCCTTGTTTGATAAGATGCAGAGGGCGCAAAGATAGTTGGCAAAGGAAAATTCCGATGAGGTAGTGTGATTTCTGCTGGGAGCCTGATGGATAGATAATGGGAAACGAGGACGAGTAGGCGGGCGATATATGAAAGCGATGTCGAAATATGGGCCGGCGGAGCGCCTACTAGATTATTAATAATTAAGCCATATCCGATCATTCCCAGGGATGTACTTTCCATTCATATTCCTGAGATCAACCAGGTGCATACCACCGATTGTATAGGTCTCTTGCATTACACCATCAATTATCTTCAGTCTCTGCCGTAACTCGTAGAGATTGGCTGCTTCTCGGCAGAGAAATATCCGTGCTTCTGTGGTCTTGCTATGAAGAGAGTGCCAGAGATGGTCAGTCCTCTTGATATTGTTCCGGATGCCTGCCAGGATTGCTGTTTCTCGCTCCAATAACTGATACTTCGCGGATTCCGAGTCCGACTGCCTCTGCGCTAATGATACCCTGCGTTGAGAAATTTCAAGCCTTTTTCCCCTGATCTCAGTCGCTAGTCCTTCGATGTGACTTCTAAGAACTGTTGTTTTGGCAGTTGATCCAAATCCTTCACTAACAATCCTCCGTGAAACCCAGGCTGAAGACACGTCATCATCGTATACGGGCAAACGGTTCTTATAATCTGACAATCCTTTGTTAGGCTTGTTTGGCGACACTGCAGCCTCGATTTGTTGCTTTATAGTCTCTTCCTCAAGCAATAGCCCGGCATTGTCGATCCGTAGCTGGTAGAGTCGACTGCGAGCACAGGTAGGACAAATACACCTTAGATTCACAGTTGGAGCGCGGGAACATATGTGACAGCTCATTTCATAGGATTTGATCTTTAAGGTTGCTAGACATTTGGGGTGATACTGGCGTGGTCGTGATACGATAGCTCTCGGAAGACTGGCTGTCGGTCAGGCCGTCTAATCATATACGCATGTGTGCTGATTTGACCAAAGCTGCCGAGGCAGGTTCGCTCATAACTTGACAAATTGTAGTGGCAATTAGGCAGAGCCGCAGAGGTAGACTAAGTCGACGGTCAAGATTCAGTGTAGGCACAGAAGACGGTTGCTGCTTACGTCACCTATGTGAGTGCTAGTCAGGTATTACCGGCATGCAAACTTAAACGAGTTCATTCAAGCCAGCCTCGGATAAGAAGTATGCTGACTTGATAACTATAAAGCTGATACTCCATGACAAAACACGGTATTATATTTACAGCAACATTATACACTGGATGTTTATCGCAATTCCACCCCTCGTTCATGGATACTGGCGTGTAAAGCCACAAGGGGACTAGAGAACAGAATGGTCCACAGAATCTGACCGCTTCTCGAATTTCATCTCCATTTCTCTTTTACTATAGATTCAGTCGGTTAGCAGCTGTACTTCATGCCGGTATCTATCCTTCCTGTCCTCGTGGACTAAGTCTATGGTTTCAGTTGTACTGATACCCACCAGTCTCGATGGAGTCTTCGAGCACCGAAGCGGACTCAATATTGTCTCGTCAGCAGGCGGAGGTCCAATCCCACGCCGAATGTCATGAAAACATACTAACAGAGTCTTTCTCTGTTGGTAACATGAGTGGACATGGCTGGAAAGAACTTCAAGATAAATATGTGGATCTCATGGAACAACATAAAAAAGCAGAAGATGCTCTCAGGAACCATACTTCCAGACTCCTAGAGGTTTTTAATGGACCTACTCTCTTCTGTGGTACCCTTCTAATTTCCACCTAGGTTTTCATGGCGTGGTCCCAAACAACTATCATGCGCGACGAAAAAAGGGCGTTGAGAAGGTTCGCTCTCCGCTTCGGCTCTATTATCAAAATATGTTGCTAATGTGCGTATTGTAGATTTAAGACCCAAATGCAACATGTTCAGAATTCCGAAGAGACCTTGAAGAAAAAGAAGAAACATTGTACGTTTCTCTAGAAATCCTTCTTTGTACACAGGGGACATTGCTGACTGTAGTTTCTAGATACCGATGTGGTCAAAGCGTTCGAGAGTGCTCTCGCATTGCTGGACGACCGCGTTTAACCATACACATGACCAAGAGGTCAGCTCCATGTCATGCAATCGCACGCTCCTAATTCTCCCTCGCCGAGATTCCAGGCATTATGCTATGGGCGCTTCAGTCTAGAATGATTTCTTGTGAACTTGTACTAGGGGCGCTTCTCTATACGCTCAATTATCGTGAGTTCCTGCTTAAAGTGAAATACTAAAGAAATACTACCGCACACTTGTAATATCGCTCTGCCTATCCATTCTTCTCACGATGTCATTCAAACCAGCATCACCGCGTCTCCCAGTACTTGCTAGTAGACTTTCCTCCTCGGCATCCTCGGCATCCTCGTCGATGAAAGACTTGTCTTGTTGTGGAGAGCGGACGCTGGACGTGACCAGGACAAGCACATAAACACCTGGGAAATAGCACGGTCAATGAGAAAAATTCCTACTGTGATGCGGGATAGAATGGTTTCTGTACCTATGAATATGAACTGAGACCAGAAAAGGATCACACCAAAGAAGGGAAACTTCGTTATCACCTGGTTGATGAAGGTGCTAGCAACACTTGGCGTGCAAATTCGCTTCGCAGCTATATTGTCCGCTGCGTCTGAACATCGCTTGATGAGATGTTTGCTATCCGAACAAGTTGACTGTCCTTCAGAACTCGCCGGGCGATCGCAGAAAGTCTGGGAGCCAAATGTTGCGTACTGCGAGGCCACGTTTGTAGACAATGAGTAGATCAATGTAAGAACGGTCAGCATCAAAACCGCCGTTGTCAGTAAAAGAGCCTGTGGAGGTGTATGGCCTCTTCTGATCTGATGAATCGTCATCCAGAGGAATCGAATGCCGATTGTAGCAATCCCGAATGCCGAGCTGCAGAAGAGAAATGAAGTGAGGATCATGAACATAATGTAGTCCATTGGAAAAGCCCTGGCAGACTGAGCTAATAGCCAATCGATTGGGTTAAATATATGCATATTTTTGATGGAGTATCCGCAACGGTGTTTGCAGAGCGAGTTGGTAGCTTTGTCGATATCTGTTGATAGCATAGACGCCAAGGTCAGAATTGCTGTTAGAAACAAGACAATACCGCCCAAAACTCTTAGCGGACGCAATTTAGCCTTTGTTTTCAGCCATACTGTACCTATCCAGCGAATCTCCTCCGTGTGCGCTTCGTCTGCTAGGCGCTGGCGCCGTATTAAAGTCCTCTCCTCTCTAACAAGGGCATCCAATTCTCTACGATCTTTAGAGGGCAAAAGCTCAGGGTTGCCTCCACAGCGCCGGTCTAGCTGGCGTTGACGTTCTTTGTTGGATTCAAGTTGCACGTCGATAGCGGCTTTCCATGTCTCGTTTGGTGCCGCTTTGATTACCAGTAGAGGGAGGAGAGCAAGACCCGTGGATGTATATAGGATATACAAAGGCACCCCAACCGTCATGAGTACACCGACCAGGAAAGTAAGGGCCCGTTCGCCTCCTGGATAATAATGAGCCAAAAGTCAGTTTCTTGAATTGACCGGATGAAAACAGTGTCTCGCCCTGAAATTGCTCGGAGACCAACAAAGCTCAAAAGGGAAGCGTAGGGCATACGGTTGCGAACCAAGGACTCCGCAAGGTGTTCAGTCTCCTTGACATGGTCGGTGTTTGGCAAAGGAATAAGTGAGCCGGCCAGAAGAAGCACTGCCACAATTGCGATAAAAGAGATTGTATATTTGAAGGCAGCCCAGTGTCGTCGCGCCGATGATTGTTCCCCGGCTTCCGTGGCCACCTCATCATATTCTTCGTACCAAAAATAAACAAATGGAATAACCAAAAGGCATAGGGTGGCATCAATGGAGTAGAGTAGATAGTATACAGTAGTCAGAGAAAAGAGAACCTTATCGACATCCTCCCGAGTGGCCCAGCTATCCCTCTGACCTAGCGTCGAGGGCGTCGCCGACGAGACCAGAGCAATGTCGACTGGCAGTAAGAGGACAGTTGCGAGAAGACTTGTGATGGTAAGGATACAAGTGAAGGTCACAGCTTGCGAGCGGTCTCGAGGGGTCTGATAGGCATGAATGAGGAACGAAGCTATCAAGATCGCAACGGCTATCACAATGACATATATGACCCATATGAGGGTCACTTGCAGAGGAGCCATCAGGTATGATTTAGGAGCTCACATGGAATAGAAGATGAGTTGGATACGAGGTGAGGAAGTCACCACATCACAGTAACGCCTACCCTCCTTACAGTACAGCCGAATGTGAAGGAAGCTCAGACAGCAAGAAGAATCCTGACACGACTTACGTCATCCAGAGAAGGTGTCACGTGGAATTTCACTCTCGGTGATCCCGAGCTTGGTCTTTTTCTGTCTATCGCTCCTCAACGCCCATTCCACGCATCTGCCCTTTGTTGTGTTCCGAATCTGTTCTTGGGTACCCCACATCGCCTATGGGAATAGGCAATGTTGAGAAAACGACAAGGCAGCTAAAATAGCCGGGTGGCCGGGGAAATCCTATATTTTGACAAGACGAACGCAGATACCTCTCCATATTGCAGATGCAGTGCTATACCGAATTGCTGGCCCCTACTGGGGTCACTCATGCATTGGCATTACCCTTCCTGAACGATAGATCCAACAATCTTGTCGTCGTCAAGACCTCTCTCCTCCAGATATTCTCAGTGCAAAGTAACTCTTCTGGTCTACAACGGGTGGAAACACAACCCAACGAACAAACAACGAAACTAGTCCTGGAGAGGGAGTACCCTTTGGCTGGCACAGTAACCGACCTGTGCCGGGTCAAGGTATTGAATACCAGGAGCGGGGGGGAAGCCATCCTCATCTCATTTCGCAATGCCAAACTCAGTCTGATTGAATGGGATCCAGAGCGTCGTGGTATCTCTACAATCTCGATTCATTATTACGAGCGAGATGATCTGACCCGTAGTCCCTGGGTCTCTGATTTGAGCAATTGTGACAGCATCCTTAGTCTGGATCCAAGCAGTAGATGTGCGATATTCAACTTCGGGGTTCGGAATCTCGCCATCATCCCTTTTCATCAGCCAGGGGATGACTTGGTAATGGGTGACTATGACCCGGATATAGAGGGACATCGAGCAGAGAGCTACAACCTCGGGGATGTCGCTGACCGGGAGAAGGCCCAGCAAGGCCTAATATATGAAACACCGTATGCCCCATCCTTCGTCTTACCCTTGAGTGCATTGGACCCATCAATTCTGCACCCCATAAATTTCGCATTTCTATACGAATATAGGGAACCGACTTTTGGGATCTTGTATTCGCAGGTTGCGACGTCTAGTGCGCTAATGCAAGAGAGGAAAGACATTGTCTTCTATTCTGTGTTCACTCTCGATCTGGAACAACGAGCATCCACCACGTTGCTGTCAGTATCTAGATTGCCCAGCGATCTTTTCAAAGTGGTAGCCCTTCCGCCTCCTGTTGGTGGTGCTTTGTTGATTGGGTCCAATGAGCTGGTGCATGTTGATCAGGCTGGTAAAACCAATGCGGTTGGAGTCAATGAATTTTCTAGAATGGTCTCGGCATTTTCTATGACGGATCAGTCGGACTTAGCTCTGCGCCTGGAGAACTGCGTTGTCGAGATTCTAGACGACGGCAGCGGAGATCTGCTCATGGTGCTATCAACAGGGGACTTTGCCATTGTGAGATTCAGGCTCGATGGCAGGTCAGTGTCTGGGATCTCAGTGCACCTCTTATCGACTCACCCTGGGGTTGTCTCCATGAACTCTGCGGCTTCCTCTTCGGCGTATATCGGCGAAGGCAAAGTATTTCTGGGCAGTGAGAGTTCAGACTCTGTGCTTCTCGGCTGCTCCTTCACGTCCTCGAGCTCCAGAAAACCTCGCCCACAGTCGAGGCTTGCCATGGATGATTCAGTGGACACAGATGAGGACCAGAGTGATAATGAAGACGACTTATATGCCACATCACCAGATTTGGCGCTGGCTGTTGGCCCCTTGAATATTGAGCCGTCCTCTGGACTACGTTACTTTCATGTCCACGACAAACTTATCAATATCGCTCCGGTGAGGGATATTGCCTTAGGTAGGCGCTCTGTGGTCACAATAGCCAAAGGCAGCCGCCTCGAACGTGACTCGGCTGAGTTGGAGCTGGTAGCAGCTCAGGGCTCTGATAGTAGTGGTGGTTTAGTGGTCTTGAGACGCGAACTTGATCCTGATGTGCTGCAATCCTTCAGCGTTGAGTCTGCCGACTGTCTTTGGACAGCTTCTGTAGTTCATGGGACACAGGCCGTGTCTAATGGCTCCGATGACAATCGATCACAATCGCGATGTTTTGTCATCATTTCCAGAAGAAGGGGGATTGAAAAAGAAGAGTCTCTTGTCTACTTGGAAGATGCCGGTGAATTGAAAGCTTTCAAAGCTCCCGAGTTCAACCCCAATGAGGACACGACGATCGATATTGGCACAATGATGGGCGACAAGCGAGTAGTCCAAGTCCTGAAAAATGAGGTTCGAATCTATGACAGCGGTAAGCTCTCCACCTAATCTGGCGCTGAGATGGCCATGCTGACGGAGTAGACCTGGGACTAACCCAAATATATCCCATCTGGGATGATGACACCAATGATGAGCGGGTAGCCGTCAATACCAGCTTTGCAGACCCTTGCCTTGCAATTCTTCGAGATGATTCGTCGATATTATTTCTTCAGGTGGATGATAGCGGTGACCTTGATGAAGTCATTCTAAATGATCAATTGGCAGCAAAGAATTGGGTTTCCTGTAGCCTATACTATGACAAGACCGGCACGTTTTCATCAGTCGACTCAGCTTCTAAAGGACTGCTTCAGGGTGGCCTTTACTTGTTCCTTCTGGGCCAGGACAGTAGGCTTTATGTAGGTCTACACTGTGATCTCTGATTGCCTGTGTTGGCTGGCTGTATGCACCATCGGTCTTTATACTTACCACGAAATGCACAGATCTACCGCTTTCCCGATCAGAACCTGGTAACTATCATTGAGGGACTAACCGGGCAGCCACCGATATTGTCCTCGGAGCCCCTCAGACGAGCTGGGGTACGGGAGTCGTTGGCGGAGGCCATTGTTGCCGACCTTGGAGACTCCGCTAGCGCTTCACCATACTTGATTGTACGCTTATGTTACCATGTTGAGTCAAATTACACCCCAATGCTGATGCGTCTTTATTCAGTTGCGTTCTCAAAACGACGACATCAACATATACAAGCCATTTGTCGCCTCCGCTGGCGCAGGAACTGGAACGTCAAGCCTGCGATTCTCGAAGGAAGCTAACACAGTTGTTCCGAGATTACCTTCCCGTGTGGGCTCAGAGCTATCTGATACAAGGCGATATGAAGGTCAATCATTGCGTATACTCGCCAATCTCTCAGGGCTCGCCACCGTGTTTGTTCCTGGGGCTTCGGCTGGTTTTATCGTTCGAACATCCACTAGCTTACCGCATTTCATACGCTTGAGAGGCAGTCATCCACGAAGCGTGAGCACGCTTAATCCCCTGTCAGCCAATAGCAGTTTCGTCTTTTTGGAATCCAATGTGAGCCTACATTTGCCAATCTTGGACTATGGCAACCGAATCCGCCGAATGCTAAGCTGATTCACTAAAGGACACCATTAATTTGTGCAAATTGCCCGCTGGCATGCTATTTGATCATGAATGGCCTTTGCAGAAGGTGCCATTGGGCGAACAAGTTGATCATTTAACCTACTCTTCCTCTTCCGGGACCTATGTCCTTGGAACCTGCCAAAGGGCTACCTTTAAACTGCCCGAAGATGACGAGTTACATCCCGAATGGCGTAATGAAGGTTTGCTCTCTTTCCTTGCCTCATGAATGCAAGCTAAATGCTAGTAGTCGTTTCATTCTTACCTGAGGTGCATCGAAGCTCTCTGAAAATTGTTAGCCCGAAAACATGGTCTATTATTGATTGGTGAGAAATAACTGTAGGAGGGTGATACGATTCAAAAAGAAGCGCTGACTTTCCGTCGTTATTTTGCAGTCATTCTTTGGATGCTAGCGAATATGTGATGGCAATGAAAAACATGAGTCTCGAGGTATCAGAAAACACGCATGAACGCAGAGAAATGATAGTTGTCGGCACTGCGATTGCACGTGGTGAAGATATACCATCGCGAGGTTGCATATATGTTTTCGAGGTCATCAAGGTGGTTCCAGATCCTGAAAACCCGGCAATAGACCGCAGATTGAAACTTATTGGCAAAGAAGTGGTAAAGGGCGCTGTGACTGCATTATCCGAAATTGGTGGCCAGGGTTTCATCATCGTCTCCCAAGGGCAGAAATGCATGGTTAGGGGTCTAAAGGAGGACGGCAGCTTGCTCCCAGTGGCTTTCATGGATATGCAATGCTATGTTAGTGTTGTCAAAGAGCTGAAAGGCACTGGTATGTGCATTCTTGGAGACGCCACCAAAGGACTTTGGTTCGCTGGCTATTCGGTACGTTTCTAGAATCGCCCTCGCTCGGAAAATCTCAATTGAGCTGACGGACTTGATGTGTGCCTAGGAGGAACCTTATAAATTGAGTCTTTTCGCGAAAGACTTGGACTATCTGGAGGTGGTAGCTGCAGACTTTCTTCCTGATGGCAAAAGGCTGTTTATCGTTGTGGCTGACAGCGACTGCAACATTCACATATTGCAATATGACCCCGAAGGTAGGCATCACTGCGATCGGCATCTTTGGCGGAGCTTTGACTAAATTTTGAGCAGACCCTAAATCCTCGAATGGTGACAGATTACTCAGTCGTAGTAAATTTCACACGGGCAATATGGCGTCTACGCTAACTCTTCTTCCACGTACAAGTGTTTCGTCCGGACTGTTACTCGCCCAATCGGACGACATGGATCTGGATCACCAAGTATCTCTCTACCAGGCACTTGTAACGTCGCAGAACGGGTCCATAGGTTTGATCACATGCATCACAGAAGAGGTTTACCGTCGACTGTCAGCTTTGCAGTCTCAACTGACCAATACTCTCGAACATCCCTGTGGTCTAAATCCTCGCGCTTTTCGTGCTGTCGAAAGTGATGGCACTGCTGGAAGGGGGATGCTGGATGGTAATTTGTTATTTCAGTGGCTCGGCCTGAGTAAACAGCGCAAGACGGAGATAGCAAGCCGGGTGGGCGCAAACGAATGGGAGATCAAGGCGGATCTGCAAAGCATAGGGGGCGATGGGCTTGGATATCTCTGATTCAGACAAGTTCACGGACGGACAGCTCCTGTAAGCAAGCCGACATGACGCAGGCTTTCAGGGAGCAATCCGGCCTTCCCACTAAAGAAGCAAATGTTCTCTGACGACGGAGCACTAGCCGCTTGCTTGTCATTCCGGCAAGGATGACGGAATTGTCCATCTCCCCCTTATGTGGCAGGCTGGATCCATGGCTCCTAGCATTGTTAAATAGTCTGCATTGATCTCGTGAGTGAAGGGGATTTCATGGGATCTCCGAAACAATCTAGTGTGCGGCATATCATTAAGCCGCTTTACTTCAAGGGAATAAAAGATGCTATGGCTATGCAAAACGATCTGAAATCAGCCATTCGACCGGTAAACGCGGTCTATGAAGAATACTCCCGTAGTAACAAATTGCAATAGCCAGGCAAGAAGTGATGAGCCTGACGCCCGAATAGCTGGAACCAGGATAAAATGGAAAGAAAGGGCAGAAAGAAAATGCGATATTAAAAATCCCAGGGGAAAAAAGACAACAACACCGAGACAATCGAGACCCGCTAGCGCCCTAGCCCAAACGAGCAGAAACTCCATCACGCCTGAGCCCATTCAGTTCGACCTCAAAAATGGTCACTGCCATATCCGTACACCCGTACATAGCCCTGAAAAATCCATGCGTCAGTCAATTCCCAGGAGAAATCTCATCGAAACAGGTTGCATATAGCTGACGTGAAGCTCGAAAAAGCAGGTAAACTTGGCAAATCGAACACAAATCCTCAAACAGAGGCGCAATGGTCGGTAGATTGTATGCGGACAAGAGAATCTGAGCTCGTCCACGGCAACTTTGGGATTGGGGGGAGGGGGGGAGAGCTTTCCCTCCCTTCCGCTTTCAGTTCTGGGAGTAGCATATACCGCTTCATAATAGACTATGCCCATTAAAAAACGTCTTCTGCAGCGAAATATCGCTTGCTTCTTCCGCGTGCAGCCACAAATTTGACCTCAGGCAAGTTGGTGTGATGGACTACATGCGGTCGGTATACAGCATCAACCGGTGCCTGCCAATCATCCAACCCTAAAGGAAAGTATTCATACAACATATCAGCACTTTCATTAGGGAAGGGGAGTGTAGACGCAAACGGTTGCTGCATGTTCGTACTATCTAATAGGGGCAGTGACGAAGACGCAGATCGAGATGGCGCTTGGGGCAGGCCATGGGAGAGTTTTCGCATTTTTGCCGGGGGCGCAGTGGCGTCTATAATAGGATTTCTATGCGACACGTCATTGCTGTACGTTGAAGCTGCTCTAGCTGTATCATGAAAGTTGACGGTTTCCGCGGCCTCTTCATCGTCGAATAGAGACAGATTGATAGGAGCCGAAACATTACTTGGGTGTCGTTGTGTATCCGAAGGCCGCGGGAAGTCCGGACTCGACTGGGCATATACAGATGATTGGGGCAATGGTGCGGAAATTGTTCCTCCCACGGCGGGCGAGATCTGTGTCCAGTCGGCGGAAGCCGGTGGTGGGCCAATACCGCCCTGAGAGACTGTTGTCTCGGGTGAGCTGCTTTTGACCGTCGCCTTGGCTTTTGCTGGGGTTAGATTTGAAGACGGTGCCGAATCACTTGTCGGTGTCCGGTTCACAGTAGCGGGTTGGGTATTCTTGCGGGATGCAGCCGCACTACCGCTCAGAGGCAGGTCTTTGCGAGATTGAAAATTGCGGGGGCTACGGCCCCGGACAATGACAGGGCCTGAATGCACTTCGCAGATGGGAACTCTAGCACCAGTGGAAAGGGTGGCGATAACTTTTAGCCGAACGACAAAGTGCTGTTGAAGCTCTTTTCTGCGACCATTATTGGCAGTCGCAACCCGGAATTGCAGTCGCTTCCATGCGATTGGGAAGGTTGCATAGTCGGTATCGAGATCCTGGCCAGCCATGATGTCCAAGGGGATTGGAGGCGGCTCTTTCTCAACTTTGGGATTGGCGTTGCTAGAGTTGGCAATCCCACCGTTGGTTGGGACTGCGGCATCCTCTGTCGATTGGTTCTGGCTTGCAGAAGGTGTTTTCCAAGGCACTGAAATGATCTTCACCGAGTTGCCCTCGACCGATTCGGTAGCAGAGACAGTCAATTCCTGCGCAAGGATGGGTATCCGGTCGCCTTGCTCCGTCATAATGTATCTTAGACTTCGCGGTAGGGTCACCGAGCCCGTTATTTGAAAGAGATTTCGCCGATAGCATGTTAGCTCCGCTCCTTGCTGTGGTGGGGCATTCTCTGTGGGCGAGGTGGTCCATGGCGACTCAGCGAGGAAGAACATGCCATGCAGCTGAGCCGCAAGAGAGACCGAGGTGCGCCGTAATGAGTAGTCCAGCAATGTAAAACTGTATGCCGGGAGAGAAAAGCTTAGGAGCTTGTTGTTGTGGTCGATAGAAGAGTCGGGAAGTTGCTCTGGCGGGGCAGGATCAAAGGGTGCCACTATGTCTGTAAAGGGATCCTGATAGTCCGACGAAAAGCGTTTCAAGCTTGCAGGTGGTACACCATGTTGAGTAAATGCAATGTCCTCGCTATTCAGTCGGGATAATGATCAGCGACGGGAAGATTGCAGGTCGAACGGGAAAGGCCGCGCTCAATATGATACGTACCTAACGAAGGTTTCCGACTCGAAAGTTGATCGCTGGTCAGGCATGTCTATACCAGGCATCGGATGAAGGTAATCGGTCCCCTGGAGATTGCTCAGGGAAAGCGGGCTAGCCAGGTAAGGCATGGCCATAGTATCAAAGCCCTCCATGTCAATGGACCAGTCAGCCCTTTTGAGGCTCGGACCTATCAACTTGATTAACCCAGAAGGGTGACAAACAGCCAGGGACTGGCAGCGAAATGCCAATGGGAGTGAGCTAGGGAGGGATGAGAAGGAACGAGGGATGTGAGGATAAGGGAGACGGTGAGTGGAGGCGATGGGGTGGCGGCGGCAGCGGAGGAAGAGTAAGAGCAAGAGAAAAAAGATCAGAACGGGGAGCGGCAGGCGAGAAGAGGATGCGAGAAGGGCGGAGAGCGGAGAGAAGGATGAACAGTAGGCGGACAGCCAGATCGATTCCGGTGGGAGGGGTGTCGTCGCTACGAGCGCGGCCGCGGAAGGAAGCTAGGAAGGGGAGAGCATGAGGAAATGGCAGAAGCTGTAGGGCTGATGTGAATGAACGAAGGTACGTAAAGTGAAAGAAGGAATTGAGTGGAGGAGGCGATGGGGCAGGAAGGCAGCATGAACAATGAGAAAGAGAGCCGGTTGCAGTGACTCTTCCGCAAATGGTTACGTCGTTCTTCTTCTAATTCTTCTTCTTCTTCTCCTTATTGTTGTTGTCGTCGGCGGCGGCGGCGGCGGCGGCGGTGATAATGATGAGGGAGGGGATGGATAACGCGCGCAGAGAAAGAGGGAGGGAGAGAGAGGGAGGAAGAGAGGAAGGGGGTGGGGGGCGCGGGGGAGAGGAGTGGGTGGGGGGGGGGCAGTTCTGCTGCTCTGGTTAAGATGCAGGAAAAATAAGCAGGCACAAGGCACAGACAACTCGGAAGAGGTCAAATGCAGAAATTAGAAGCTAAGCTCTGCAGAAGGGTAAAGTGAGAAGTATGAAGACTGACAACCGCTGCAAGAGCAAGACAGGAGCAAGCAAGAGAGACTCCAGATTCCGAGAGCAGAGTGGATCGGATTTCCCCGAAGTCAGCAAGCCAAGCAAAACAAAAGGGCCATCGAAACCGGAGACGGACACGGGGGGGTTGAGAAGTCTGGGCCAAACTAGAGTGGATAAAATACGGTACCTACCTTAATGGAAAGAGCCCGCCCTGAGGAGACCGAGTGCGGAGCAGTGAATGAGAGCAAGCATGTACTGTACCTACTACCTATTTTGTGTGGTTTTGTGTGTGTGTGTGTGTGTGTGTGTGTGTGTGTGTGTGTGTGTGTGTGTGTGTGT